GTAACAATCTTGATCTTTTTTTCACCACAGTTGAATCACATACTTTAAATGTGTGCTTATTTTAGGCCTTTTTGCCATATTTCTCGACAAGACATTTTCTAGTGCATATTCACAGTTACAGAACCTTTTGCCAAAGGGTTCAATTTGTGCCCGATCGACTGCAAAGCTCCACAGCCGTCCCATACAGCTAAACCTTGAGCCTTTTATTCCGGTTTTGCCATATTCCGAACGCCTCGTTACCTTAGAAAACCAAACGTTTGCTACGTCCTTAAACTTCACGATAGCTTTCACTTCCCGCCCTTTTCCGTTCGGTGTCCGAGGACAAACCTACGGCTGTTGGGTGTACGTTATTCTTGGTGGACGTATTATCCTGTGTGAATGAAACATTGTAAAGATACAAACATGGTAAATGTATGTACCAATGCAGTTAAGAAATCGTACTTTATTACGAGAAAAGAGCAATGAAATTGCGAAAGTGCGAACCTCGAGGTTACTACAACTGCAAACAACCGAAATGTTAGGTGTATGTAAGGTGAAAATCATAACACACAAATAACGGTGTTACATTTTGTGTTTATCTCACATATTTTCGTTTTTTAACCAGAAGTCATTCTGGGTCCCAAGTCTGGCTTTGCGATTATTAACCAATAATCTTCTCATGTATTAAACGTCGGTGAAGGGCAAAACCTAATTTGATTCTCATGTATTAAAACCACATTCGACGAGTCTAAAAAACAAATAAACAAACAAACAAACGATTTAGCACTAACATTTCCTTACTGAGAACAAAATAGAAAGTGTTCAGTGCCTATTTCAATTGAAGTTTATGCCGGTAACTATCCATATTATTTTTCAAACAAAGTAATTTTCAAAAAGAAATGTATCAATTGGATTAAGCAATCACTCTGAAATTCTCTGTTCCGAGGAACTTTCTATCGAACGTGATCGTCACCTTTCACGTCAGTGAATAGTAGTTGCAGTAGTTGCTTGAATAATCTCACACCAATCTACACGTTACATGATACCTGCTCCAATGACACTGCAATTAGCTCAGCACCCGAATAAAATACAAACATTCAGATATGTGTGTATAAGATAAATGAGGAAGATTTTTCGGCTGTCCAATATCACAGCTTTCCACCCCTGGTTGCATTTGAAAATCACAGTCGGGTATTCAAAGCGTTTCAGCGAGTGTTTACCTCAGGTTCAACTTGCGACCCCTAAGAGCCGTTGGGCCGAGCAGCAAGCACACTAGCCCGCGGCACACCTGTGCTCTACTACCTTCGCTTAGGGGATTCTACGCTCTTTTCTCCCCTTCGTTTTTTCTCTCTTCTCGCTCTGGGATTTCCGATGCAGCTGTAGTTACAAAGTGTCCCGCGTGTTTTCCTCTATTTTATATTCAATTATTGTAAGAGAACTCCCCCGGCGATATAAATTACACCACAAGCAGTTGATTTGGTCTGGACGGGACGGCCACAATGCGCTCCTCTTATTTTGACCCGTGCATTGGTGTGTAACGTTGCCTAGAATCTTCTTGTGTTTGTCTTTTGCCGCGAAAATGCTAAGGTGCGATTTTGTGCCCTTGGGTAAAAAAAAAGGCCCACGCTTCAATTAATTTAACCAACAAGAGGATATGTAGAGTTAAAACTCCAATGTGGAGACAATCCAAACGGACAATTCCTGTTTGTGTATCTTAATAAATGCTGTCAGCATAATGTTTTAGGGCCCAGGTTTGATACAATCACATCCACATTGTCTACAAAATGGTTCAAAATGAGGCAGGTTACACTTCAGATGTGCCAAAACATCGGACGATCGATGCAAGCACAATTGGAAGTAATAGAACAAACATATCTTCAGGTTCATTTTCTAAAAAGGAATAAATCAACAATTTTGAGCCGTTACGATCCTCTATAGCAAGAAAAGAGTCTTCCTTATGAAAAATCTTCGTTACGATTACTATTTTATTTCGTCTCATAATGTACCAAAACAATGGTGAGGGAAGTGAAATGTTGTTGTTCAAATTGTCTTTCAATAATCACCCTGTTTAAGCATGGCATTTACTCGATGCAACTGCGGACTGGTTCCGCGACTATGCAGTACGGTTGCATTGCCAGTTAGAGGCAAGCACAAAATCTTGTTCAAGAATAACAAAAATAACGGCTTGCCAGGAACCTGTAGGCGTTGTTCAGCGCTGGCAGCAGACGAATGCGTTTGGCCGCTTTGTTTAAAAGATGGAATCAAATGGTAAAATTTATCGGACCTCTGTCCCCAGTACTGCCGACATAAATCACACTAATGTTTATACCAGGTCTTAATTAAACACCAATCTAAGACCGCTTTAATTAAACGTGATATATGGCTTCCCTTTACTTGCACACTCTGGCAACACGACCAGTGACACATCAGTACCTGCAGGAAACTGAACTAATTGTTAGTGTAGGGAAATTGATGGCGATCGCTTTATAATTGATAGTATGGTGCACAGTGTAATTTGTGGTGTATTTTTTTTTAAGCCACCGCCAGATGCATCCATGGTTACTCACGGGTTGGATGTTCAACTCACTTTTAATTAAGGAATCTTTCGCACGTCCTTTAAGTGAATTGTTTATTTGTTCGCTCTGTTTTCCGCGGCTGTGTATTTGTAATCTCGAGTCTGGCTTCTACATTGCATGATGACGTGTCAAAGGTTCAATAATTATGACTGTGTGGCTCACACATTGCCTAAAACTATGGCCGCTCGTAGCCTGCTTACGCACATTGTAATTCAATTGTGTCTCGGAAATGTAACGTTTGTACCAAGTTTCCAATACATATTACTTGAAATTGTCTCAATACAATTGTAATAGAAATAAATGGCAAGCCAACCATTTAGGAATTCTGTTAAAGTTGGTAAATATAAAAAAAAATTCTCTGAACAAAATTGAAAGGAATATAATGTTTTGTAACAAATACATTTGCTTGTTTGTTTTTTCAGGCCTTTATACAGTTTTAAAAATTAGTTTTAAATGGCGCGCTCTAATTCAGAAATGGCGCATACTATTCAGAACGAATTAGGAGCGTCCCGTTCTCAATTAAAAATTGAAATTAATTATTTGATTATTTGTCATGGGCCGATTTCTTCGTGCGATGGCTCATTGGAAAGCTCATATCTAATGCAATGCTAAAAAAAAAATTCAATTCGAAAATCTATTTTCAAGGTGTTATCTTCTCAAAAATCGCGAAAACACCAATCTTATTTAATTGTGTAATTAATTTTAAAATTGTTACGCAAGCTTGACAATGGCTGGATTGAATTAATAATTTTCCATGAAACAGTCTTCTTTCACATGCTCCTACATTACATAATTAGCTGATGAATATCAATTTTTATGATCCCTTCCCGATGAAACAAATATATGACAGTATCTTTTAATTCATCCGTTAAAGTAGTTGTGACTTTTATCTTAGACAACTCAATTATTCAGCGCTTTCGAACATTTTATAAACATTGGGAAGCGTATTTCGTCCCTTGCAAAAATGTGCATGGTCGTGATGATTGCTCATGTCAAAAATGTGCATATACTGTCAAGAAATGTAAGATGGTTTCATAGTGAAACTGTTGCACCGGGCTTACGCAGCGTTACCGGCCCAGACAGTTCCAGATCGTAATTCAATTTGCCGGCAGAATGGAATGCATACTGGCCAAACAGAGCTGCAAATAATCTGGGTGAATATCCTCATGCCAAACTGTATTCCATCATTTTGATTGTATAATGATGAGCAATGAAAGCTAGTGAGAAAACCTATGCAATGGGTTGCCGCGATGTGGGTAGTAATTTTCAACGACCAACTAATGTGGCTTTTAATTCGGTTTGGTAATGTATTGTGTTTGATTTAAAAATTCGGTCAAGATTGGTAAGACTTATTGATGTGATACTGACAATTTAACCTACATTACATTTGTACTTAAAAAGCCAAATTTTAAAGGGAAAATACAACATTTGCAAACATCAAAAAATGAAACTACCAAATCATTTTGAAATACCTTGCTGGACTGTTAGTGAATGACAGTGTAAAGCATCCTGTAAAATCATGGCACATGGTATACTATCATTTTCAAGAAAAGTGGTATTTTTGTATCAATTTCCAACGCTGATCCGTCGATCAGCGTTGGAAAAAAACTGGCTTTCTTTCAAATACTGGCCCCAGTTGACCATCGCACTTGTTTGCAATCGATCACACACCTATATGAACGGGAACAAGTCAGTTAGACTGGTTCCCTGACCTTACAATTCCCCACTATATGTAAACTGCTTTGTTTCTTCTTAAATGGAGTCAGGGAACCAGACTACAGGAAAATGATTGTTTTTCTTGGTTTTTATAGCATTTTCGAACCCAAAACCTCAAAAAAGTCAGTGTAACTATATTTGCTATATATTTCCAACCCCCCAATTCCATCCATTTCTGAAAATTACAGCAAAAGCAAATGATGTATATTCCCTTATACAACAGGGCAGTTGATAATCGGTTAGGCAATAATCGGTTGATAAATGGGTCATTTTGTCGGCTCGAAGCAAAAGGATCCTAAACGAATGTTGGCTAAAATCTCGATCAGGATTCAAAGTGAAAAGACCTAAACCTGTTTTAAAATTTAAAGTGGTACGACAGGTCGTCTTGTTCCCAAATTGCACATTTTTGCTCATATTCAGGTGTAGCTTGCTTTTGCCATATATTGTTGCACTGCTATAAGATAAAGATCTAAACCAACGTTACGTTACCTCTAAAGCATTTCACATGACATTGAGTTCTTTTCATTCACTTCCATGCAGATGTATGTCTGTGGTGAACTTGCAGTGGTATCGGCAGAGGATATTTTGCATGTTGCTTAAAAGAAAAAGCAGCTTAAGCTGACTAGACCTGGAAACAGATACCCTCTGTTAACGTGCATGTGGAAACTATAAGAGCACTTTGAAACAAGTTTTAATCGAGAAACTTTCTCCTTCTGTGTCCTTCTGCAGGTGCAAAATATCCAATGCCTGGTGCCCGACAAGATTTATGTCAGTGATTAGCAAAAGTAAGCGTGTTCATTCGATGTTGTGAGACCTCACGTCCAAGCAACATTTCAGGTCGGTGAGGTTTACACGAATGCTCTAGAACGTGCAGAGTTGACATTTGGGTTCTTATCAAGCTACCCTGGATCCAGGAAATATTGCACAGTCGAAAAACTGAAAGGACACCACCTCTTTCACCAAAAGGGAGAGAGAGTATATTGTCGAATTCAACGTAAATTTCTGAGACACTGTTTGATAACACAAAATGGAGACGGCCGAAGCAGCTAGGGAGAAGATGGAAAACGCAAAAGTTGCCATGTCCGAGTTTATAGGAACAGCCAAGTCGCGAATCACGAATCCAGTCATACAGCGACGGTTCATCCTCATAATAGTCTGTGTGGCTCTGCTACTCGACAACATGCTGTACATGGTGATAGTGCCCATCATTCCCGACTACCTGAGATCAATCGGAGCGTGGAATGATACTGATACAACTATTGTATCCAGCTTTGATAACGTAACTAATACTACGGTCAACACTACCATTGAATCCCATGGAGGTTCCAGAAACGAAGACTTCTACATTGGTATTCTATTCGCATCGAAGGCCATCGTGCAGTTGCTGATAAACCCTTTCTCTGGCACTATCATTGATAGGATCGGTTATGATATCCCCATGGTGATTGGACTAAGCATTCTCTTCGTAGCTACCACAATCTTCGCCTGTGGAACATCCTACGGAGTTTTGTTCTTCGCTAGGAGCATGCAAGGCGTTGGGTCTGCCTTCGCCGATACCTCTGGTCTTGCGATGATAGCTGACCGGTTCCAAGTTGAGAGCGAGCGAACCAAAGCTCTTGGCATCGCCCTGGCGTTTATATCCTTCGGCTGCCTCGTGGCCCCTCCATTCGGCGGTGTTTTGTACGAGTTCGTTGGGAAGAAAATGCCGTTCGTCACGCTAGCGCTGGTAGCAGTCCTTGATGGGTTTCTTTTACTCTTCGTTATCAAACCATACAGTGAACGTCGCTGGCAGATGCCAAAAGGGACACCCATCTATAAGCTGATAACGGATCCGTACATAGCTGTGGCTGCTGGGGCTTTGTCCATGTCCAATGTGTCTCTTGCTTTCCTAGAGCCCACCATTTCAATCTGGATGGAGGACACTATGTCAGCTGTGAGTTGGCAGACAGGAATCATCTGGCTACCTGCCTTCATTCCGCACGTCATCGGGGTCATCATGACTGTCAAATTTGCCGCTCGCTACCCCCACTACCAATGGCTCTACGCTGCCATCGGACTTGTTGTCATTGGTATCTGTACATTCATTGTCCCAGCCTGTGAGACATTTGGTGTACTCATCATTCCCCTCTGTGGTATCTGCTACGGAATTGCCCTGGTAGACACTTCCCTGTTACCAACCCTCGGCTTCCTAGTCGACGTTCGTCACGTCCCAGTCTACGGGAGCGTGTACGCTATAGCTGATATCTCCTACTGTGTAGCCTACGCCATAGGCCCAGTCCTAGCTGGTCAGATTGTCCAAAGCCTCGGCTTTACCAACCTCAACATCATGATCGGCGTCTTCAACATCGCTTATGCTCCGATCCTTATTGTCTTAAGGAAGGTATATGACCTGAAGCCCAGGGAGTTTGAAGACACTGTGCTTCTAACGGAGGAGCCAGCCACGGGGCTCTACGATGCTGTCAAGGCTGAAGCTAAACGCGAAGCCAAAGAAGGTGACCGCTACTATGTCAACCACAATGCCTTTAGGATGCACAAAGTCAACGGTAACATACCCAACGGCAACCTAGTAGATAGTGACGACGCTAGCTCCACTGATAGCAGGAACTTTGGTACTCCAGTTGGAAATGCTTCACGACCGGATGACAATATTCGGAGATTTGTGGCTCAGCAACAAGGCTACGGGTCTCTGTCTGAACAAGAAGATTAGAATCACAATTGCTATGGACTAGTTGAGCTGTTGCTTTGATATCATTAGAGTCATTAGAGCCTTTGTTAACTAAATATGATATGAATGTAGCGGAGGAAAAATATAATTGGTGCCCCAGACTTTAAATCAAGAGACTTTAAATCATGGCTTTCAAGCAGTCTAACATCTGTGTTATCAAACGTTTTGTTGGCAAAATAAACCCTCGTACATTCGCTTTGGAATTGATTTTAATACAGACAATGCTAACAAAAGTTGAAGACGCTTTGAGTTTCTTGCCCTCGTTTTGTTCTTCAAAGTGCAAATGAACAAAAGGCATGCATCTGATTGGTAAAGTGGATATTGCTGGATGACAAAATGCTCTGTAAGCTTCAACACACATGCCCCCAAAACTGGACAAAATAATAAATTATACTTTGTGTCTTTGACAGCGTGTCTAAATGAGAATGATTTTAATGTCTCTATAACTAGGGCATTGCATATTTGAAGAAATAATACCTGTTATCATAATGTTTGGTATCGTAGCTGTGATATGCTTTGTTAAAACGTTGAACAATCTCTTTGGTTTTGTGGTAAATGATTCAATGATTATATCCGACATGGTATTGTGTCTCTCGAGATATTCATTCAACATAGTGTTTTGCGTTCGTATTGTCTTCACATCAAAGACAACTGTTTGTCAATATTCAACTTTCCCAAGTAGGCTTTTCTTTTTGCAAAGTAAAACATGTTTTCGCAGCATGTCACACGAGTAAAATAAAAACAAATACAAATTAGTGAAATATCGCAAGGTTTATCAAAATTTCCCAAAAACTTGAGATTGCAGTGGCCAAACAATCACGGAATTTTTTTTTTGAAATTTCAGTATTGAAGAGATCCAATTAATTCCAACTGAGTAAAATTATGTAAAAAAAAATTCATTGGAGAATGTATACAGATTTATCCCTGGAACGAGAAAACATACTTCATAGTTCTCTAATATTTTCGCATTAGCGATATGGCTTTACTAGAGATGCTATATCATAGTAACCATTGGAAATGTCGCGGTAATTTAGCACAAAGGCTTGTTGAGGGAGTAACTAATGGGAAAATACAGGTCGAATATTATAAAAGAAAAGACTACCAGGTCTCTTACAACTACGGCCAATTTGCTATTGTTCTCGGGGGACGTCGCGTTAAATAAAAGGCGCCATGGGGAGGCAATGGTTAATCCCGCGTACTACACGCCGCTGCATGAGCATCAAATTAACAATAAACATACAGGCAAAGATTTGTGTTCGAAAGGCCTGGTGGCCTAACCAAGTAGACTTATACTTAAGCTGATTACAGCCCGCGTGTAGTTTCGGCATTTTGTTCTTTTAGTTAGACGACGAAAATTCAACCTGATTAAAATCGCTTGTTATATTTTGTCCTCGTTCAAGGTGAAACGAAATCGGCTCTTATTGAGAAAATGGATCGGGACGGATGGTAAACACTACATGTCTTTCCAGTTAGCAATAAAACGTAGTTCAAAGAAAAAATACCATATTTGGGATTTGTTTCAAATTGGATAATTGAATGCTTAATTCTGTTGAAATTAATTATGTAAATAAAACATAATATGAGGTCAATAGGTTAGGCTTATTTTATTGTTTTAATTCCTCTATGTACACATTAAATTTTGGGCTAATTTTAATAGGCTGTAACAGATTCTAGAATCTTGCTGTAATATATTTTCCTTCCAAAATGATTTCATATATTGATTCCTTTGCTTTAAATGTAACTTAAAGGGGCATTACGGCCTGAAATCCCGCAAATTTGATGTTTTGAATTGTTTACTTATGCTTTTAAAGGTCTAGTTGAAAGGAAACTTACCTAATGTTTTACCTTTCCCGAGAAAAGAAGGGAGGGGCGGTTGTTTACATCGGACATGACGGAGTACATATACGTTTTTTCCTTTTTTTTCAATGTACGAAACAGGCTGTCTGTGTCACATAAATTACACATAGCACCAATAGACAACGGTTGTTTCAATACCGTCCGCAGGGGGCCACTTTGTGCGGCTGGAATCACAACTAGCAATGAACAGCTCGATTTTTCGGGACAAAATTGTGACCCCGAAATTCGTCCTCGCATGGTTCATGCCAAAATAACTCAAAAACGCCCAGTTTTCAAAGGATGGTTGTGTGGACGTTTATATTTTACTTTTAAATGTTCTTTCAATTTAATATTATTTTGTTTTAAACTCGTTTAGTAGCCCAACTGGGCGTTTTTAGGCCGCAGTGTCCCTTAAAATATAACTCCAAATTACTAATTGCTTAGTAATATTCTGAGTATAAAAAAGTCTTTATTTTCAATGAATACGATGAGTTTTCTGTACATACCACATTCGCTCTTAATTAACGCAAAAAAAAAACAATAGAGAAGTCAATCACTTAGTGTAGTAACAAAAATCTGTAACTTACGACCAGAGGCAATAATTCAATTACTTTGTTTACAAAATATCAACATGTACGTGTATAAAGCGACATTAAACAGTGTACAATGGAAATAGTGTTATTACCCTTTAGCAAAAATAAAAGTACCACGTGTACAAAATATGTTGGATGTACAATTTTTTGAAAGTTCTTCGCTACTATTTTTATTTCTCATTTTTTTAGCTAGAATGTAAAGGTATAAGTAAGCACTATTTGACAATTATATTACATTGAAGGAGTGTTATAAGTCCGCTCATCAAAACAAAATAAAATCAGAATTCTGTACCTGACTCGTGAGTGATAATGATAATGTCTTACGAAGGATACAAGTTCCATGCGCACTAGTTTTACTCCTTGGAAAGATCCTTGATGAGAAGAACCTGTTATAGGTATCACCATCACATTATTACAAAAAAAAGTACATTACGTCTACAGATCACTGCAAAAGGACCAAAGATATTTGATTAAAATTACATTTCTTCTGTCTTTTTAGCTTGGCGTCTTCGGTATAGACAAATTCGGCCGCGTTATGAACGTACTTGCAGGAGGCCCTTGGCCCTCGTTATTGGGAGAAACCATTGTGCAAGCTTTTGTGCAAGGTACTGCTCCTGACGGATTATCTGAACAACAGCTAGCACATTGCTTTCGCCACTAAAAGGTGTCTTCGAGATATAATTGATAACATACCCGCATTGTTCTATATGGGGTGTTTACAAACTTTCAGAAACATCTTCTTTCACACAGATTTTCATAAACAATGTAAGTGCTCCTTGTTCTTTCATTTATCATATCTTAATCAGTTCTTGGTCGTGTCATCACAACCAACACCCCTCATGTGGCATTATTTGCGGTAATATTAGCATCGCAAAATAAAACCAAAAAATGGCCGAAATAGCATTCATGAAATTCTTTCCGAATTGGATCGAGTCCGTATATTAAGTGTTGACGAGAGTTTAAGTGGTACTCGATAAACACACTTGCCCTTTTGCCGTGGTCTGCGAACTGTGTTTTGCCGTCATGGCCAGTTGAGTACCGTCTGTAGATATCCCACCGTGGGAGCTCAGTCCTAGTTTTTCTCCCCTATAGGGCATCTAACATTAAAAAAGTGGCAAACATTACATTTCAAAGCAGCAATATTTTATTTTTACATTTTAAGAGATTGATCAAATTAAATCCAACTAGACACTCACTTCAGTGGACATTTTTAATAGTAGAAAGAATTAATGAAGACAATTTTCGTAAAACTAAAAAGCCCCTGCAAGCGCATGCATTACGAATTTTTCATTAATGCTTCATTGCGTGCAGACTCATGGCAATTGAGGATTCGTCTCAATTGGGGTAAACAACCCATGTTTCTTTTTGATAGAAATCAATTCAGCGGTCCGATTGCGCATCACTATATTAATGAGATGTTCGTTCTCAATTAAACCCGACAAGTTAAGGTTATGATTAAACAGTGGCCTTTTTTATTTACATCCATAGATTTATTTTGTTTATTTCAAAGTTACATTTAGTCATTCTGTTCAATTATACAAAATATTGGCGTCATGTTCATATCACCAAATTGATTTTAGAACATGACATCAATAAATTATTCCTCATAGGGGAAGCCCGTCGCCATTGGGCAAGCAGTAATGCCTATAGAATTGTGCACAGAGAGCGAAATAATAAACAGAACAGTCACTGTGCCACGGACAAGCGAGACGATCAAGAATGTTGCGTCTCTATATCTCGGCACCGGTGTTCTGTCTCTTGGGAGTGGGGGATAAAAGGTGTAGCCTGCCCCACTCGCAATAAAGCACGTACGCTGCACTAATAACGGATTTCGTAGCGGACTGTCGTTCGAAACACCGTGGGAAAACAAACCCAGGACCATAGAAAGACCAGAGTATTGTGTGTATCGTATCGTCTTGAAATGTTCCTGTTTAAAATGTCGTTGCACGATGTATATTGCTGGACAATCCGACGTCATATATGATTTTGGTTCGTAAATTAAATTAGATGGTGCTTCATAAGGGGATTATATAATGGTAGGCCCAGAATTCGAAATAGATACCAACAAATAAATGTGCCAACAAATAAAAATCAGTGGCTCAAACACCCGGCCCCACCAAGAACAATGAAAAGGTTCAAAGGGACTGAACCACAATATAAGACAGTTTATGATTCTAAATCAGCGAATAAAAATCAGCCGATGTAACAGATAACTTACGCGCTGTTTACTGAAACAAAAGTTGAATATTCTAACAATGAGTTCCAAGTCCTCATGCATGTCTTTGCACAATTTTGAGTACTCTTCGGAATCTCAGTTCCTGTTGTACCACTTGATGGTTTGCAAGAAGCCGTGTTGCACTCAAGGCTCTATTGGCGGAAAGTAAACCCAGCACGATGACCCTAATGGAATCGATAATGTTGAAACCGAATAATTGCAACCTGCGCTGAGCTAGCACGCACGGAACCGGCGTAATGGTTTGAGGAGTTGCAAGGCGTGTTGCCTCTCTATTCAAATCTATAGGATAAGCAATGACATAATCGATTCTTCTTACCGGTTAATTATATTTTTTCAGTCCGTTAAATCTGTTCCGACTGGAAAAAGGGAGCATGTACTTTGCGTAGCTGAATTCAGGGTTTGTGTTACTATTTTCTTCTTGAAGTATTTTAGAGTAAATCCCCGCGCTATTAGGAAAACAAAATCAAACATATCTTTTACGCGCACTTGAATAACAAACAATAATAAGTTGAAAAAAGGCTATTGTGCTTTTTCCCAAGTTCATATACCACTGCATACTTTGCTTTCGCTTCAAATTCCATTTGTGATGCATTTAAAAAAAACTCACGTAGACTCTGCATACTCTACTCCCAAGTTAGACTATATATAACTAGGTTGTAGTATAGCAGATTGGTGATAAGATTGTTCATTTGATGGTAAAGGCATGAAATTTGGCACAGTCAGAGTATGTCATGGGAAAGATATTTGGCCATAGGGCCATCGCAGATTTGTCCTTTGAAAAAACAAAATCATAGGATAATAAGCAATTTCAAAAATTTTCCAAATGGCGTCCATTGCATGTTATCCTACGATATTTTCTTTAAATGACAATTCTGCGATGGTCCTATAGCCAAATATCTTTCCCATTACA